ACAGTGGTTTCCATCTTCTAGAGGGATCCCATAGGTATGGTATATACATAGTTACATTGGTCCAAGTTGGAACAATGTAGCTACCTAAAAACATCCATACCTGTAGAGCACCCTCACAGCTGCTAGTGGAGATACATGTAGTTTGGCTCCTCTGTAGACAGAGGAACAAAGAGTTAATTGTACTTAGGAGGCTGTGACTCTGTTACCTCCCCCCCGTCCTCTGAAGCTCTCTGGATATTTCCAGAACATAGTGGGGGGAGGGATAGAGGCTGCAATCTGAATATTCATGGAGTTTCCACCAATCCTTGGGAAGGCAGGCTTAGAAGGTGGGAAAGCAGCCCATAAATACTCCGAAGCCTGGCAGTCTGGGAGCAGAGTCCAGGGTCCAGCCAGTCTGGAGGTGGCCCCTGTGCCAAGGGGCCCCTGGGACAGAAGAGAGAGAAGAAGAAAGCTGCAGGACATTATTATACGTTCTTCTTACCACCACTACTAATACTACTACTACTACCACTAATAATAATTATATATTTTAAAAATATTATTATCATTAAAAGAAGATTTATTATCATCATCATCATCGTTATTGTTATTATTACTATTATATTGTTATTATACGTTCTTCTTACCACCACTACTAATACTACTACTACTACTAATAATGAAATTAATAACATATGTAAATAATAATGTTATTATTATTATTTCCATCATTAGAAGATTTGTTATTATTATTATTAGTAGTAGTGGTGGTAAGAAGAACGTATAATAACAATATAATAGTAATAATAACAATAATAACGATGATGATGATGATAATAAATCTTCTTTTAATGATGATAATATTTTTAAAATATATAATTATTATTAGTGGTAGTGGTAATAATTATTAATATCTAATAATAACAATAATAATAATTCTATAGTAAAAAAAAGAAGATTTAGTAGTAGTAGTATTATTAGTAATAATACAAATAAATATTAAAAAAACAATTCTTCATAATAATAATAATCATCACCATCATCACAATAATATGTCATTATGAAAATGATAACAAATTAAAATTGAATTAAAATGAAACACGCAATGTAGATTTACCATAACCCCACCCGGGGGGGTGTACACAGAGGACAGACTTAATTCATAAAGCTGTTATGTGTGTTATGTGCCGTAGTAATTCTTTTTTTTTTTTCAGATTCTATCATTGGCTCCCATTGCTGAAAATAACAGTCGTTCCTGCAAATAATCATCTTTATATCTTAGCAAATTGAGCCGATCGTGTAAAAAAAAAAAAAAAAAAAAAATATATATATATATATATAAAATGTGGGTGCCGATCTGCTGCCTTTGTGTGATTTGTGCCATTAAACCGGAAGATGTGAGCCGGGTGAACGCTCCGCCTGCGTCTCGGGCAAAGCCTGATCATCCCAGAGATGATACTGAGAGACAATGGAAGCAGAGCGAGGGGGGTGCGATGGCGGCTGTTGCTATAGTTACCTTCTTATGCCGCTTTTACGAATATGGAATGGAAGGGGGAGCGGCGAGTCTCTTTCTCTTGTAATGTTTGATAATAGAGAATAATAGGCCGGACTGGTTCTGTAATATCGCCAAAGAAATGCAACAAATTGTAATATCCAATCAGCAAATATTTCCATTGTGAGTGAGATAAATGAGCTCATTTCATAAGGCGGCGGGCAAAGCGCAATTATCCATCGCTGCCGATCTGTCATCCTTTTTATGAGCTGACAAGTAAAAGATGACATTTGATTGGTTGCTTTGGGGTTGCATTTTATACAAAAAAATGACCCCCCCCATGGGACTTTGATGCAGCAAACATCATCACACATGTGACCATAATGAACTCTTTATAGTCCTGCACTTTAGTGTACAAAATATTAATAAAAGATACATTATATGTAAAATCACACATTGCCTCTGATATCTATTCCAGGGATGTATTCCCTTTAACCCCTTCCAGTCCGGACACTTTCACCCCCTTCCAGTCCGGACACTTTCACTCCCTTCCAGTCCGGACACTTTCACCCCCTTCCCGTCCGGACAATTTCCCCCCCTTCCAGTCCAGACACTTTCCCCCCCTTCCAGTCTGGACACTTTCCCCCCCTTCCAGTCCGGACGCTTTCCCCCCCTTCCAGTCCGGACACTTTCACCCCCTTCCAGTCCGGACGCTTTCACCCCCTTCCAGTCCGGACGCTTTCACCCCTTCCAGTCCTGGACACTTTCCCCCCCCTTCCAGTCCGGACACTTTCCCCCCCTTCCAGTCCGGACACTTTCACCCCCTTCCAGTCCGGACACTTTCCCCCCTTCCAGTCCGGACACTTTCCCCCTTCCAGTCCGGACACTTTCACCGGACACTTTCACCCCCTTCCAGTCCGGACACTTTCATCCCCTTCCAGTCCGGAAACTTTCACCCCCCTTCCAGTCCGGACACTTTTTCCCCCCCTTCCAGTCCGGACACTTTCCCCCCCTTCCAGTCCGGACACTTTCACCCCCCCTTCCAGTCGGACAACTTTCAGACTTTCCCCCCTTCCAGTCCGGACACTTTCCAGTCCGGACCCCCCCCTTCCAGTCCGGACACTTTCACCCCCTTCCAGTCCGGACACTTTCACCCCTTCCAGTTTTCCACCCCTTCCAGTCCGGACACTTTCACCACCCTTCCAGTCCGGACACTTTCCCCCCTTTCCAGTCCAGACACTTTCACTCCCTTCCAGTCCGGACACTTTCACCCCCTTCCAGTCCGGACACTTTCACCCCTTCCAGTCCGGACACTTTCACCCCCTTCCAGTCCACTTTCACCTCCTTCCAGACCACTTTCACCTCCTTCCAGTCCGGACCCCCCTTCCAGTCCGGACACTTTCACCCCCTTCCAGTCCGGACACTTTCACCCCCTTCCAGTCCGGACACTTTCAGCCCCTTCCAGTCCAGGACACTTTCACCCCCTTCCAGTCCAGACACTTTCACCCCCTTCCAGTCCGGGACACTTCCCCCCCCCTTCCAGTCCGGACACTTTCACCCCCTTCCAGTCCGGACACTTTCACCCCCTTCCAGTCCGGACACTTTCACCCCCTTCCAGTCCGGACACTTTCACCCCCCCCCTTCCAGTCCGGACACTTTCACCCCCCTTCCAGTCCGGACACTTTCACCCCCTTCCAGTCCGGACACTTTTCACCCCCTTCCAGTCCACTTTCCCCCCTTCCAGGACACTTTCACCCCCTTCCAGTTTCCCCCCTTCCAGTCCCGACACTTTCACCCCCTTCCAGTCCGGACACTTTCCCCCCTTCCAGTCCAGGACACTTTCACCCCCTTCCCAGTCCGACACTTTCACCCCCTTCCATCACCCCTTCCAGTCCCAGGACACTTTCACCCCTTGAAGTCCCTTTCACCCCCTTCCAGTCCAGACACTTTCACCCCCCTTCCAGTCCAGTCCGGACACTTTCAAGTCCGGACACCCCCGGACACTTTCACCCCCTCAGTCCGGACACTTTCACTTTCCCCCCTTTCCACCCCCTTCCAGTCCGGACACTTTCCCCCCCTTCCAGTCCGGACACTTTCACCCCCTTCCAGTCCGGACACTTTCACCCCCTTCCAGTCCCAGTCCGGACACTTTCAACCCCCTTCCCAGTCAACCCCTTCCAGGACACTTTCACCCCCCTTCCAGTCCGGACCGGACTTTCACCCCCTTCCAGTCCGGACACTTTCAACCCCCTTCCAGTCCGGACACTTTCACCCCCCTTCCAGTCCGACACTTTCACCCCCTTCCAGTCCGGACACTTTCACCCCCCCAGTCCGGACACTTCCAGTCCGTCTGACACTTTCACCCCCTTCCAGTCCGGACACTTTCACCCCCTTCCAGTCCGACACTTTCACCCCCTTCCAGTCCGGACACTTTCACCCCCTTCCAGTCCGGACACTTTCCAGACACTTTCACCCCCTTCCGGACACTTTCACCACCCTTCCAGTCGACACTTTCAACCCCCATCCAGTCCCCTTTCACACCCCTCCAGTTTCCCCCCTTCCAAGGACACTCCGGACACTTTCACCCCCTTCCAGTCCCGGACACTTTCCAGTCCGGACACTTTCACCCCTTCCAGTCCGGACACTTTCACCCCTTCCAATCCGGACACTTTCAACCCCTTCCAGTCCGGACACTTTCAACCCCTTCCAGTCTGGACACTTTCACCCCCTTCCAGTTTTCAACCCCTTCCAGTCCGGACACTTTCAACCCCTTCCAGTCCGGACACTTTCAACCCCTTCCCGGACACTTCAACCCCTTCCGGACACTTTCACCCCCTTCCACACTCCCCTTCCAGTCCGGACACTTTCACTCAGTCAACCCCCCTTCCAGTCCGGACACTTTCAAGTTCCGGGACACCAACCCCTTCCAGTCCAGGCCAATGTTCAGATTGTAGCACTATCACACTTTGAATGACAATTGCGCAGTCATGCAACACTGCACCCATATGAATTTTTTTAGCATTTTTTTTGAGACAGAAAATCTTTATTTTGGTGGTATTTATTCACCGCTGGGATTTTAATTTTTTTTACTATATAAATGAAAAAGTCCAAACATTTTGGGGAAAAAGTGTTTTTCTTATCAAATGTTACAAATAAATATTCTTTCTTCATAAATCTTGGCCAAAATCTTTTTAAAATAAAAAAAAAACCCAAATTAGTTTATAACCAAAAATTATAATTTTTTAAAAAATTTTTTCACATTTTTGTTTTTTTTATATTATTATTTATGGTTTTTTTTTACATACTGTCACCCTAGCAGTACAGTGTCACCATGGTGACACTGTACTACTTGTGGGGGGTGATGATTTGTTTTTTTTTGTTTTTTTTTTACACAGATTGCTTTTACACCCATAAAGGCTGTAAAAACAATCATTTCTCCTCTCTGGCTGCATTCTTGCAACCATTAAGAAATACTGTGAGAGCTGTGATTGGTCACAGCTTGTCACATGGTACAAGGCTGTTGTGAATAGCCCTGTACCATGTGACCTCTGTGGTCATTCACAGATTTCACACGTAGTAAGCAATGATGTCAGAAGTGACATCTCGCTTACTACTCTGCATGTGATCACTGATTGGCCAATCAGTGATCACATGATCGGGACCTCACACAGAGGTCCCGTACAGCAATCGGTGTTCCCAGGGAGTGCGCACAGACGGGGAGCGGGGAGGACATTTATAAACGGCCACCCGCCCCTGCACTGCTCCCTTCCAGCCATTTGTATACAGGGGCCAGACGAGAAGTGATTAAAGTGCAACAATACAACATCCCCAAAATAACCCCGACGCGTTTCGATCGTTCCACTTTTAGATCTTCCTCAGGGAACATGAGTGCAAAAAGGGATCTAAGGGAATTAAACAGTTAATGTTGATCAGAGCGGTCGTAAAAATGCTGACATCCAAGATGGGACTGCAAAGTCCAAAATTCAATGGAGTAAACCAGGGGTGTCAAACTCCATTTCATGGCGGGTCGTATCAGCATTATGGTTGCCCTTAAGGGCCGGTTGTATCTGTAAGACTAGATGTCCAGAGCACCCCCCCCCCCCATTACATCAGATGTCAAGAATCCCCCACCCTCCCTAACATCACTGTGCATTCCCTTTGGGGCAGAGCTGGAAAGCACAAAGTGCAGGGTCTGGAGGAGGACCCAGGAGGACCTGTGGGTTATCTGAATCATTATCCACCCTCCAGATCTATGTCCACCATTAGGGTCCATTGCACCAAATGCATTCCCATTGCATAGAGCAGGGGTGTCAAACTCCATTTCATTGCGGGCCGTATCAGCGTTATGGTTGCCCTTAAGGGCCGGTTGTATCTATAAGACTAGATGTCCAGAGCACCCCACCCCCATTACATCAGATGTCAGGCATCACCCACCCTCCCTAACATCACCGTGCACCCCATTTGGGGGGCAGAGCTGGAAAACACAAAGTACAGGGTCTGGAGGAGGACCCAGAATCTGCTGAATGCTGAGACCAGGGGAGGCAGAGATGAGGGGGTGCTGCAGATGCACTGAGAGGTGCAGGATTTGGCAGAGGAGTTCTATTGTCCTCACTGCTGGCAATTGCTGAGACAAGATGGGGGCGGAGACAAGGGGGTACCTGAAGAAGAGGTGCAAGGGCCACATGAAATGGCCTGGAGGGCCGAACTTGGCCCGCTGGCCTTGTGTTTGACACCTGTGGGTTAGCCTGTCTGACTCATTATCCACCCTCCAGATCTATGTCCACCGTTAGGGTCCATTCACACCAAATGCATTCCCATTGCATAGACCAGGGGTGTCAAACTCCATTTCATGGCGGGCCGTATCAGCGTTATGGTTGCCCTTAAGGGCCGGTTGTATCTGTAAGACTAGATGTCCAGAGTACCCCCCCCCCATTACATCAGATGTCAGGAATCCCACACCCTCCCTAACATCACCATGTACCCTGGAGCTGGAAAGCACAAAGTGCAGAGTCTGGAGGAGGACCCAGAGGAGGAGTGGAGTCAGTTACCAGAGTCTGCTGAATGCTGAGACCAGGGGAGGCAGAGATGAGGTGGTGCAGCTGCACTGAGAGGTGCAGGATTTGGCAGAGGATATAACCTACTATCCATGTGTTTTTGATGCAGAAAAAAATGCATTGGACTGCATATGGTGTGAACCACGCCATTGACAACCATCAAACCTACTTTCTGTGTGTTTTGGAGATAGAGAAAAAAAAAAAAAAAAAAAATACACACTGGACTGCACATGCAGCCCAGTTTGTTTTTTTCTGCATCAAAAACGCATTGATAGTAGGTTACATGGTTTCCAATGGCGTGGTTCACACCAGTGCGGTCACTTCCAATGTGTTCCAGTTCCATAACAAAAAGTAGAGCATGCTGCATTTTGTATGCACTGAACTGTACTGGAATGCAGTGAAACACAACAAGGGGGCGCTCTTTACGTCTGGAGGAAAAGAAATGTAATCTCCAAACACGGAAAGGTTTCTTCACTGTGAGAGCTGTGAGAATGTGGAATAGACTCCCTCCAGAGTTGGTTGTGGCCAGCTCAGTGGATTGCTGTAGGAAAGTCCTGGATTCTTTCTTGGATACACAGAATATAACTGGATATAACATTTATAGGGAAAGTTGATCCAGGGAATATCCGATTGCCTCTCGGGGGATCAGGGAGGAATTCTTTCCCTGCAGGAGCAGATTGGATCGTGCTTTGCTGGGTTTTTTTTTTTTGCCTTCCTCTGGATCAACTGTGGGTGTAGGACTATAACTTTTTTTTTTTTTTCAATATGGTTGAACTGGATGGAGAGCCAGACTGAACTAAATGCACCAAAATGCACTGGAATGCACATTTCCTTATTAAGTTGAAGAAAAAGGGGGGGGGGATGTGTCAAAAGCACACCAGAGCTCATCAAAAACATGTCAAAAACACACCAGAATGCCTAAAAACACATCAAAAACATGTCAAAAACACACCAAAGTGCATAAAAAAATCAAAAACACACCAGGATGCATAACAAAATGTCAAGACCACACCAGAACGCTTTAAAAACACATCAAAAACATGGCAAAAAATGCACCAGAATGCATCAAAAACACACCAGAGCTTATCAAAAACTCATCACAAATGTCAAAAACACACCAGAACGCATCATAAACATGTAAAAAACACACCAGAATGCATCAAAAAACACACCAGAATGCATCAAAAACACACCAGAGCGCATACAAAAAAAATCAAAAACATGTCAAAAACACACCAGAACGCATCAAAAACACACCAGAATGTGATAACAACACATCAAAAATATGTAAAAAACTCATGAAAAATGTCAAAAACACACAGAGTGCATCAGAAACACACCAGAGCGCATCAAAAATGTAAAAAACACACCAGAACGCATCAAAAACATGTAAAAAAATGCACCAGAATGAATCAAAAACATAAAAAAACTCATCAGAGCACATCAAAAACTCATCAAAAATGTCAAACACACACTAGAACGCATCAAAAACAGACCAGAGCACATCAAAAACACATCAAAAACATGTCAAAAACACACCAGAACGCCTAAAAACCCGTCAAAAACACACCAGGATGCATCAAAAACATGTCAAAACCACACCAGAACGCTTTAAAAACACATCAAAAACATGTCAAAAAACGCACCAGAATGCATCAAAAACACACAAGAGCTTATCAAAAACTCATCAAAAATGTCAAAAACACACCAGAATGCAACAAAAACATGTCAAAAACACACCAGAACGCTTAAAAAAAACACCAGAACGCAATAAAAACATGTCAAAAACGCACCAGAATGCATCAAAAACACATCGATAACATGTCAAAAACACAACAGAATGCATTAAAAACACATCAAAAACGTAAAAAACGCACCGGAATGCATCAAAAACATGTCAAAAAACGCACCAGAACACTAAAAAAGTGAATATAAACACATCAAAAAGCCGCATACAGAAAGACATCCGGACTGCGTGTCTCCGGTGTGATCCGGCCCTAAGTGTCTTTTTGGAATGCAGTGCGGAGAGCTGCCCTGGCTCAGTACCTCCACAACTGTCACTCCCCAGGAGGGAATTGGCAGTTGCGTGTTGTAGTTCCCGGTACATTGCCGTGTCCAGTACGGCTGGTGAAGTCTTATGTACTATGACATCCAGATTTCTATACAGGAGAGCTGAGCCCGCCGTGTCGCCTGGTGTTAGATCTGCTCCGCAGTGTTCTATGGAAGGAAGCATGGATCGATCCGTCATACCTGACAGTCCTCGTACGGAAGGCGTCCCGCTGACCTCGCCATAAATCCCGTCTATTACGGCGCCTGTCATCTCAAGGACACCTCGGGCGCCCCTATTCCCCGACATGGAAGGCAGACGAGCGCTTTTATGGCTTTGGTGGTTACTTGTGTGCTGTTAAAGCCAAACTCCGGCCGTATTTCTGGAAAAGTCCCCCAGGCATTGCGGGAAACGTGAGCTCGCAGTCCTGTACGGTGTCCACACAGCTCTGCAGGACTTTTACATTTCTGCAGACATTTGTTGTGGCCTAAAGCGGAACTCCGCTCTCTCCACCAGCATGGACTATTTGTAATTTCATTTTTATTTATTTATTTTTTGACCTTCAGTTACTTCCTGGTTTCCATGCCTAGGCAATTAATGTCATGCATCCAGAGTCTCCATGGGAGGAGCTTTCCCAGCTAAGCACACACCCTCCTACCTGCGTGCCTGAGCTAAGGGCAGATGGATTCTAGGAAGTAAATGCTGCATGAATCATCTGCCCTTACTTAGCCACTTCCAGTCCAGACACTTTCACCCCCTTCCTGTCCGGACACTTTCACCCCCCCTTCCTGTCCGGACACTTTCCCCCCCATCCAGTCCGGACACTTTCACCCCCTTCCAGTCCGGACACTTTTACCCCCCCTTCCAGTGCGGACACTTTTACCCCCTTCCAGTCCGGACACTTTCACCCCCTTCCAGTGCGGACACTTTCCCCCCCTTCCAGTCCGACACTTTCATCCCCCTTCCAGTCCAGACACTTTCATCCCCCTTCCAGTCCGGACACTTTCATCCCCCTTCCAGTCGGACACTTTCACCCCCTTCCAGTCTGGACACTTTCACCCCCTTCCAGTCTGGACACTTTCACCCCCTTCCAGTCTGGACACTTTCACCCCCTTCCAGTCTGGACACTTTCACCCCCTTCCAGTCTGGACACTTTCAACCCCTTCCAGTCCGAACATTTTCACCCCCTTTCACCCCCCTTCCTGTCCGGACACTTTCATCCCCTTCCAGTCCGGACACTTTCACCCCCTTCCAGGCCGGACACTTTCATCCCCTTCCAGTCCGGAAACTTTCCCCCCCTTCCAGTCCAGACACTTTCACCCCCTTCAAGTCCGGACACTTTCATCCCCCTTCCAGTCCGGACACTTTCCCCCCCTTCCAGTCCGGACACTTCCCCCCTTCCAGTCCGGACACTTTCACCCCCTTCCAGTCCGGACACTTTCACCCCCTTCCTGTCCGGACACTTTCACCCCCTTCCAGTCCGGACACTTTAACCTCCTTCCAGTCCGGACACTTTCACCCCCTTCCAGTTCGGACACTTTCACCTCCTTCCAGTCCGGACACTTTCACCCCCTTCCAGTCCGGACACTTTCACCCCCTTCCAGTCCGGACACTTTCACCCCCTTCCAGTCCGGACATTTTCACCCCCTTCCAGTCCGGACACTTTCACCCCCTTCCAGTCCGGACACTTTCCCCCCCTTCCAGTCCGGACACTTTCACCCCCTTCCAGTGCGGACACTTTCACCCCCTTCCAGTCCGGACACTTTCCCCCCCCTCTTCCAGTCCGGACACTTTCACCCCCTTCCTGTCCGGACACTTTCACCCCCTTCCAGTCCGGGCACTTTCACCCCCTTCCAGTCCGGACACTTTCACCTCCTTCCAGTCCGGACACTTTCACCCCCTTCCAGTCCGGACACTTTCACCTCCTTCCAGTCCGGACACTTTCACCCCCTTCCAGTTCGGACACTTTCACCCCCTTCCAGTCCGGACACTTTCACCCCCTTCCAGTCCGGACACTTTCACCCCCCCTTCCAGTCCGGACACTTTCACCCCCTTCCAGTCCGGACACTTTCACCCCCTTCCAGTCCGGACACTTTTCACCCCTTCCAGTCCGGACACTTTTCCAGTCCGGACACTTACTTCCTTCCAGTCCGGACACTTTCACCCCCTTCCAGTCCGGACACTTTCTCCCCCCTTCCAGTCCCAGTCCGGACACTTTCACCCCCCTTCCAGTCCGGACACTTTCCCCCACTTCCCTTCCAGTCCGGACACTTTCACCCCACCCCCTTCCTGTCCGGACACTTTCACCCCCCTTCCAGTCCGGACACTTTCACCCCCTTCCAGTCCCGGACACTTTCACCCCCTTCCAGTCCGGACACTTTCACCTCCTTCCAGTCCGGACACTTTCACCTCCTTCCACAACTGGGATTTTTATTTTTTTGCTATATAAATGAAAAAAGTCCAAACATTTTGAAAAAAAGTGTTTTTCTTATAAAATTTTGCAAATAAATAATCTTTCATCCTAAATCTTGGCCAAATGTATTCAGTTATTTTTAGTAAAAAAAAAAAAAAAACCCCAAATTAGTTTATAACCAAAAATTTAAATTTGTTTAAAATTATTTTTACATTTTTTTTTATATTATTATTTATGCTTTTTTTTAAATACTGCCAACCCAGCAGTACAGTGTCCCCATTGGTGGTTACAGATGTCAATCATCAAAGATTCTCCGCCGGCACCCAGTGATTGCTGAGTAACATACGGGACGTTTTTACAGAGGCTGTTTTTTGGCTTTTGACGTTTTTTTTTTTTTGACGTTTTTTTTCTACAGCCAGTAACCCCCCCCCCCCCCCCCCCCCCCAGCATGTTATCCTCGGTGTCCAAACACACAGACTGGAATCAACGTTTTTTGGCTGGAAAAAAAGGACTAGTGGGTTTCTAGAGGAGTTTTTTAGCTGTAAAAAACGCGGTAATATGTGGTAAATGGTGGTAAAAACACTGCAAACCGGCGTTTTTTGGATGTTTTTTGGACCAAAAAAAAAAGTTTTTGGGTAAAAAAAATGTTAAAAGAAACAAATGTGGAAAAATGCAGCTAAACGCGGCGAAACGTGGCAAAACGCAGCTAAACGCTAATGCCACAAGCTGAAATATGCACATTTTTAATGTGACTTTACATGTTACCAGCGTTATCAAAAAGTCCCGTGTGCGTGGAGCCCAACATGTGAGAGATCTGTGTGTAAACAACGCAGGTCTCTCTCCTGCCAGCAAGAACATGCTGCTGTGTATTCCTCTGCACCGCAGCATGTTTCCCAAGTAAGACGCACACAGTTAACCCTTTGATTGCCCCTCATGTTAACCTCTTCCTGCCCAGTGCCATTAGTACAGTGTCAGTGCTTTTTATTAGCCCTGATCACTGTATTGGTGTCACTGGGGATGTCAGTGACACCAAGTTAGTTCCCCCCCAGTGTCAGAATGCCCGCCGCAGTCCCGCTATAAGTCGCTGATCGCCACCATTACTAGTATTTAAAAAACAAAATCCCATTATCTATACCGCCATTTGTAAACGCTATAACTTTCATGTAAATCAATTAATTTACACATATTGGGATTTTTTTTGCATGTCGCAAAATACATTTTGGCCAAAATTTATGAAGAAATTTTATTTTTTTAATTTGTTTATAGTAAAAAATAGTCAAAAATATAATTTATTTTAAATTGTTGGTCTTTTTTTTGATTATA